TTTACAAAGAGCACATCTATTAGGAAGTAGCCAGATTCCCCATCAGCCTTAACATTTTCTAATTAATGTTGATTCTAATGGCCATTCAATATGTTGCATTAGGACCATTTGTAACCTAATGAACTAAATCAGAAATAGATCCATCTCAATTAACATGAATTGCAACCACAGGAATAAAGTTGGTCTAAGATCTGTGACACTGCCAAGGAAGAAACAGAAAGTTGAGGGGAAGTTCTTAACAAAATTTGTAAAGTTCCTTAAGAACTTTGCCTTAACTTTCTGTCATCTCTCTTTGAAACTTGTTCAAGAGGTCAAGTTGAATTTCATGGAAACTCTCTTGGTTCTAACTCCTAAAGCCAGAAGGAACTAGAGACATGTTCTTGAATAGGTATTCTATGGTCAGTAGGCTTGTATAGGTCATACAATTGTATGAGACATTTGCAAAGAGAGGAACAAGAGAAGTTTTCAAAAATAAAAAGGCATCATACAAGGCTCTTATGGTTTGGGTTCTTGGCTTCTTTAGCTCTTGGGTTCTTGTCACACCAGAAATGGAAGGGGTATCATATCCAATGCTAATACTGCCCAAAATCCTTTAGTCCTACCAGGGGTATCATAGTTGTCATTGGTTTTCTTGAACCTTATTTTTGTTGTGATTTACAAGTCTTTGTTGTAACTGGTGTTTATACAACTTACAGATTGATCCAGAACTTGCACAAGCTCTTCTTGGCAATGATCTTAATAGACTGCAGAACCTACTGTGTGAATGGCATCAAAAAAGATCAATGTATAAATAGAATTACATTGTCATCTTACATAGGGAAATGCATGAGTGGGGCCCATTTTAATATTTTGTGTAGGTAAATGTGTAAGTGGAACCCACAAGTAATATTTGCATGTTTGAATGTGTTATTGGGTCCTGCACATAACAATTAACATGTATGTAAGAGGGACCAACATGTATGCTTGCCAAACAGTCTTTCAGTCTTTCTAGCTTTTGAAAAGATCTTTAAAAAAATTGCTACCAAACAGTCCTTGGTCTTTGAAGATCTACCTGTGAAAGCTCATCAGTCTTTTGAGGTCTTGAGCTTTTGGAAAATCTTCCTAAAAAGACTTGCCAAACGCCTCCTTAATCAGGAGTTCAGGGGTCGGGTTAGTTTAATAGTGGGGGATGAGTCAAGAGTGAGGTTTTGGGAAAATGAATGGCTTGGGATAGGGAAACTCTGTGAGGTTTGTCCAAGGTTATACAGGTTGTCTGAGCACCAAATCACAATCGATCAGCGCTATGTATGGAGAGGGGAGCAGCTGATTTGGTCCCCAAAATTTAGAAGATCTTTACTTGATCAAGAAGTTGAAGAATGTATTCTTCTGTTGGAGAAATTAGAAGGCACAAGTATCTCTACGAGCACAGCAGACGGCCTATGGTGGAAAGAGTGCAAAGAAGGAAGATTTTCAGTGAAGTCTTTCTATAAGGCCCTAACAAGAGAAAGTGCGGAGGCAGAGCAGATAAAAGGTGTATGGGGTAATCCGGTACCCCCTAGGATTGAGGCTTTTGCTTGGTTGGTAGCACATGACAGCATTCTTACTACAGATAGGGTTTCACATGGCAAGCTACTGTTGCTTATGCAACTTGGAGGAGGAAACAGTACTTCACCTGTTCTTTTCTTGCAGTGCAGCAAATTTCATTTGGAAGTTCTTCTCATTTCTGTTTGGGGTTAGTGTCTTTCAACCTTTATCCCCAGCAGAAATCTTCTCCAAATGGCCAAAATTCAGAGGAAGCAAGAAAGATAAAATCATGTGGAGCTTCATTCCATTTGCAGTTTGCTGGTCTATATCGAATGAAAGGAACAGACCATTGATCTTCCGGTAGATGCAGTGAGTAATCTAATATCAGATTGGGTGCTACAGCTTTCAGAGTTCGATACAGTGAACAAAGCTGATTAGTTAGAAAACTTTTGGAGTACTCTTGAGTTACAGCCCTGTAATGAAGATTTATTTTCAGTTTGAGTGATGTATCTTTGCTTGGTTTGTCAACTTGACAACCAAAAGTTTTGTACTGTACCTCTTTTTCAGTTTATTGAAAATTTTCTATTGATCCTTCAAAAAAAAATTTTAAACCATACCAAAGGTCTCAGTTTGACTTGATTGAGAAGATGGTGGTAGAAAATAGACATAATAACGTTGACTACAAAAATAATATTAATAAAAATGTTAGAAGGCATAAGGAAATACCAAATTTTAGAGATGATGATCCACAAGAATTATTTCATTGATTTGCTGAACTAGATGATTGTTTTGATTGCAATGTCTGAAAAACAGAATATTAGATTTGCATGCTTGAAGCTAACTCATCTACTCTTGATTCTCGTGTTTTGGTCTATTTCCCCTTCAGGTCAATTCTCTTGTGCTTCTTTCTTCAAAGAATTCTGTCTTACCCCTTCCATTTCGCATTCCTTTCCTTTCAAGTCCATTTGGTATGGTCCCATCCCTCCTAGAATTAAGGCTTGTTTTTTGTTTTTTAATTAAGGCTTGTTGTTGTGAAGCATGTCATATGAAGATCAACACTTGTGATACCATGCAAAAAAGGAGACCAAATTGTTGTATTTCTCTTAGTCTTCATAAGTGTGTCCTTTGGGAAGCAAATAGTGAATCTGTACTTAATCTACTAATCTCCTGCAATTATACATCTAGTGTATGGGATAGACTCTTGTCTCTTTTTGGTAGTAGATGGTCTTCACCAGAGGATATAGAAATGTTATTCAAAAAAAAAAAAAAAAAAAAACAATTCTTCAACTAAAAACAAACGGGGGCAAAACCTTGGAGGTGTACAAGAGTGGCTACCTTATGATCCCATTTGGGAAGAGAGGAGCAATCAGATTTTTAATGAAAAAAAAAAAAAAAAAAAAAAACAAAGGAAATAATAGACACCATTAAGTGGAGGGTAGTAAAGTGGGTAAAAATATTGTAAGACTGAGAAATTTTCAAAGGAAGATATTCTAAGGGGCTGGCAGCAGGTGGCAGAATCTTCTGTCACTAAATCAATAAGGTCAAGGGTTTGGTCTCTACCAGCAGAATGCCTTTAGAAGCTATACTTTGATGGTTATAGCATTGGAAATCCAAGACCGATAGGTATTGGGGGTGATAAGAAATATAACTGGGGAGTTCATAGGCTGGCTATAGAAATATAAATAAAGGCTTGCATATCTGTAAGAGAATGAATTTGAGCAGCATTTTGGTTGAAGGGGATTCTAAGAATGTAATAGGCTGGCTAAAGAATGGAACACAAGGCACCTAGAAATATAGACACACTTTGAGGGAGGTGAAAAAAATTAGTTAGGGAGCTAATTTCTTGTAGTGTACGGGTGAAAAAGTTATAGAATAGGGGTGGAAAAACTTGTAATTGAAGCAGACTCAAAATTGTGATAAGTTGGCTGCCAAAAACAAAGAAAGTTTAATGGGTGTTCAGAAATGAGACCAAAAACTTGAGGAATACAGCATCTTAGGCAAATGGTTGTGGAGATTTCCCCTTGAAAAGGACAGACTATGGCACAGGGTTATTGCAAGCATTCATGGTGTGCAGGAGAATGATTGGGATGCAAAGTTAGCCATAGCACCATTCTCCACTTCAAATTCTCCTTGGAAAGCAATATGAGGTATAACCAAATTTCCTCGGTTTTACTTGTTTTGATTTGGGAGGTGCCAATAGAGTTCTCTTTTGGGAGGACCTCTGGTTGGGTGAGTCTCCTCTTAAAGTGCAGTACCCTCTTTCCAACTAGAAAATAAGTCTCTAGTTGACTATAATTTAAATAATTAGAGATAACATAAACAAATAAAGCTTTAAAAGAAGTTTGTAGTTGACTAGGTTAACAAATTAATGCTTAATCATCCCAGATGACTGCATTATGAGTATCAACTGACTAGCTAGTGATGCAGTTGACCTGGCCCTCAAATGACTAGTTGATGCTTTGATAACATTATTATTGAAAACTACTGCTATCTCTTTTTACTTCCTTTTCTTTCACTAGTCTAGATGTTTTCTGTTTGAAGGTATAACTTACATAAGCATTATCAGGACGATTGCACACTATGTCATCCTCAGCAGAAAGGTCATCCATGAATTGGCTAACAGAGATTGGTACATAGCTCTGGGGAATTACATGACCAGCTGCTGCAATAGGAGAACAATCTAATATGGCATTACCCTGTGGCATGAGCCTAAATGCCAGTGATGTCCTACAAGCACAAAGCCAGCTTCCATCAGGTAGATTCTAATCAAATAAATGGAACATGTTGAGGGCACAATTGCAACTTGCTTCATTGATGCATCACAAGTACTTAGTCAAAGCAAAAAAAGAAACTACACCTTCCACTGTTAACGGTGCTAGAAGAGTACTCAGGAACAGCCCTATATGAAGCAGCCGGGCGAAGACCAGCTGTAGCATGGCTAAGCGCTTTGCCAATAAGTAGCAAAAGATCCCCAGGACCTGACCCACCATCTGCTAGGTACCAACGACTATTGGGATCACAAACCTATGCAAGAAACAACTGGAAAAAATGATTTGAAGATCACAATAAACCAAAAAAAGTGAAATAATAATATTGAAAGTAGATAACAATAATAATGATTATGATAATAATAGTAATAGCAGTGAGAATAAATAATAATAACAACAACAACAACAACGATATAATAACTGTAACAATAACAATAACAATAATATACCATACTAAAATAGTAAAAACAGAGGACTTGTAATTGGTAATGGATAATAACTGATTTTTTTTATCAGTAACCATGGTTTGCAACTTCAATATTGATGGACGCCATGTAGAGTTGGAGAAATTTCGCTAAGATATTTGACAAATCTAAAAAATCAGAATAATTTTCTAAAAACATAGAATCAGTTAATAAACCATCAAAAAATCATTAGAAAAAATATAATTGCATATTTAAGGCTCAAAAAGCCATAACAAAGAACATTATAAATCAAACAGGAGAAAATTAAGAGACTATAATAGGCATCTTTCAATTTTGTCTCTCTTTTGGTCTTTAGCCATCTTCTCTTCCTTAAATATGTCAATTACTTTTCATTCTGAGTTTTGCCCTTATTGCTACTATAAGTTTCCATTAGATTGAAAATACTCTCGTGTAGTTAAATGCATTTTTCTTTTTCTTTTGAATTCTAGTGACTTAGTAAGTGAATGATATCAAAACAGAAAGCCAATTGTCCAATGACCAATTCCCCATTGGTTCTTTTAGGAAAACATTTTTTAAAAATTATGATGATTTTAATAGAATAACAAAAAATTCTTAATGGGGATATTTGGTAAAAAAAAAAGATTCCTGAAAGATTTTACATTGCCACTTAGCAAAATGGGATGTTTCTGGGAAATTTCGCAAAATATTGTCGAAATTGTGAACCATGTCAATAACAAGTAAAACTTTATTGATTACAAACAATATTTACAGGTACAACAGAACAGATACAAAGTAGACTAGCAAAGCTGTCTACACCCAAAGAGTTCCCTTAGAACCTCCCCCCAAAACATTTGATCTCTATTTGCCACCTACCTAGATAAAGCATCAGCCATGCTATCTATGCACACTCCTAGGCACCCACTGTAACAGAAACCACCATATCAGCAGCCAACTTCTTCACTTGTCTTGGTAAATATCTATATACCCATGTTCCTTGATTATTGTTTTTCAACCATCCCACAATTACTGTGAAGTTTCCTTCAACTATTATATTCCTACATTGGAGAGTCTTGGCCAGCCTGTATAGCACTGCCAACGCCTCTGACCTTGTGGAGTCCCCAAACCCAATTGGGCCTGAATAGAGGGCTAAAATATCACTATCTGCTTGTATAAACACTCCTCTAACTCCTAAAATTTCTGGTTTCTAATGCCACAGCCATTGAAATTCATCTTAATTTCTTGAGGGGTAGGTGGTGTCCATAAAACCCTTCTTCTATCTCTAATATGAGATGATGAATTGGTTCATCATGGATGTTTCCATGGGGGTGATACCAAAAACATATCAAACAACCTTTCCAACCTAACAAGGATATTCCACCTGCTCCCAAAAAAGAGCAAGAAACTCTTCCCAAATACAGCAAACAAATGGATGGGAGATTAGTGTGTGGTATGCAATCTCACCATTCAATTAGTACATGATACACCAGTTAGGAGATAAAAGTCAATTGGATCTCCTTTTTTATTGCAACAAGCCGCATGTATTAATACTTCTATGTAAGACTACTCAGCAAGAGGCACCAACTTTAGGAGGAAGAGGAACACACCACATTTCTTTCACAGGAAAGGACCCAAAGGGGTTAGCAATCACCAAAGTGTTGAAAAAGGAGCCACAAGAGAAACTACCAGTAGGGTTATGAACCCACAAATGGCTACCCCCTTTAGATGTATCAAGAACCACCCCATCCAACAATTTCGAAAGGCTAGAAATAGGAATGTTTCAGAATCCCTAAGGTTCCTCTTGAAACCCAAGTTCCAAATAACTTCCGATCAAACCTAGGGGGCAAGAGAGAAGGTAAAAGAAATTCAAAAATAGGTTTATCTTTAAGGTTGGAAAGGGAACAGAGAAAGGTATACAAGTCTTTCAAAGGAGACTCCCCAATTAAGAGATCATCCCAAAATTTATTCTTGTTACCAGAGGAAAGGTTATATCTGATGTGAGTGAGAAACAAGGGAAGAATACTGTGGATGGCATTCCAGGGTGAAGCAAGAATAGCTCTATGCAACAATCAAGCATTCCATCCATTCTCTGAGAGCCCATGAATACTACCCACAACCTTATGCCATAATTTTTCATTCTCCACTGGAAACCTCTGCAGTCATTTCCCAAGCATAGATAAATTCTTCTTACTTACATTGCCTCTACATATGGAGTACCAGTCAGAAGGGAATCACATGCCTTTTGAGCAAGCTTTTTTTTGGATCAGCAATAAAGAAATAAATTCCCATTAATATAAACAGAAAATATACATCTTTTAATACAAAACTGAGAGCATAACCATATCATCCCTCCCCACAATGATAATTACAAGTTTCAGCAAGCTTTCCTCGACTTGACAAAATTCAAAGTTGGGATGCATCTAGTATTTACTTTTGGGAATATAATAGGTGTGGTGCTGGTAAATTCTGTGACATCTGCCTGAAGTTGTATAGGCTGAGTGAGAAGAATATTAATATAAATAAAGAATGATAGAGTAGTTCCGTTCCCTAAATTCAGAAGACCATTGCTAGATAGAGAAATAGAGTTATAGAGGAAAGTTTGGTTCCATTTGAAATGCTTGATGCTAGGTGGTATAAGGAATACAAGAATGGTCAATCTGATTTGAAAGATCTGAGGTAAGAAGCATTTGGGGTAACTTTATTCCTCCTATGATTGTGGCTTTTGCTTGGCTGGTAGCAATGAACAGTGTCCTCACTATCAACCAGTTCAAGAAGAGGGGTTTTTAGTTTCCTAGCATCTGTTGTCTGTGTTTCAGCAAAGAGAAGGATTCAAAGCATCTGTTTATTTCATGCACTTACTCTAAATTTATTTAGGGTTTCTTCCTTTCCTTGTTTGAAGAAGTGATTGGCGGCCTTCAAATTCAAGTGACATTGTTGCATCATGGCCAAGAATCCAAGTAGCAAGAAAGCAAAGATTTTCTTGAGCAGCGTTCCATTTGCTGCCGTTTAGTGCATCTGGAACAAACAAAACAATAGAATATTTGAGAATTCCCAGATGGATAGAGAAAGTATACACTATTGTTGGGAACTTAGTCCTAGATTGGATTCTAGTCCAACCAGAATTTGCCGAGATTCAAAGAAGTTCTTTCAGATCAGCTATTTGGGATTGTTTCCTTTGATGGGGGATCATTATTTGGAGCTTTCTTTTTTCTTTTGTGTTCGATGTATTCTGTTTTGGGATGCTACCTCATCACCCAAGATATCTTTGTAATCTTTTTAGTCTTAATAAAATTTCTTTATTTTACTACAAAAAAAATGGAATATTAACACTTAAATATCAATGCCAATATATGCTATCAAAAGAAAATTCATATCTAAAATATTTTATTCATAAATAAGCCAATTTACCTGAAGACCAGGACTATCTGAGGCAATCAATGTTAATAAGCCCTTCTCCACTTCACAGTTCATTGTGGGCTTCCCTCCCCCAATGACCCCCTTGCCATTCTGTAAGGATGGATGAGAATAGGCTGCAACTAGAACGGATGAGGATGCCTCATTGGCAGGCAATGGAGTATCATCAAGTAAATGGTTAAAAACACTGGCCAGTAAAATATGCAAAGAAAAAACAAATAAAAAATCAGAATTAGATTCAGGAAAAGGGTGCACAAAGCCACAAAGAAGACAATTTTCATATAAACATCCACTGTCATGGTTCTTACTCGCTACGCAGGCGAAGATGCTTTGCTATTGCAGAGAGAGCAGCTCGGGCAGCCTTTCCCAAACATTTGAAAACATCAGCCATGCATGGGGGTGATGAGTCCCCATCTTCCAAAGCCCTGCCACAATATGCATAAGAGTGTAAATTTTGTCTCATGAACAAAAACCACATATAATACCAAATAAATAAGTAAAAAAATACTCCATTGCATGATCATGAAGCAAAAGTCACACCAAGCACAATAGCTGGTTGGAAAAACATGTTCACACCTTATTGAATCAACATAGTCAATGTTGATGCCATACCTGGGCATTTTGTAACTTTTCTTCTTTTACAATGATTTTTTTTTTGGGGTGCTTACCATCAGAAAACCAAGAAGGTGATGCAACAAAGGTGAAGCAAGGAAAGAAACCATCGAAGAAGAAATCAAGCTTCTTTATATTCTTATAACAGTGGTAATTTGGTAATTTAGTGATTTGAATTTTTTGTACTTTTCAGTTTTTTTCAAATTTATTTCTAAAATATATTTTTTTCCAAATTTATCTTCTATTTTGTTGATGGCACTAAAGAGAGCAGAATGCAAAACAGGATTCATGTAGCCAACCCCATATGGTAGGAATAAGGCTTAGATGATGATTTTCTAGTTTGTTGATGTCCAAGGAATAGGGTTAATTGTCTTAAAGGACCATAATAGTTTAAAGAGTCACATTATAGAAGTTCTAGAATTTTGAAAACCTATAGTGCAAATACATCATTTTTTTCTTTTAATCTATTTTTCAAGGATCAAAACTTTTTTGCTTGAGTGACTCTGGTTTGATTAGATAGATAATTGAGTTATCAATCAAACCAGACCAAGATCTTGTAAATCTGACATGTTGAAGGGGTTACGCTATTTTAGTGAAAGGATGTCAAGTCAGTCCATATGGGATTTTCTGAATCTTTCTTGGAGTAGTTTTTTATTTATTTAGTTTTGGGTTTTTTGGTAGTTTTACTAGGATTAGTAATGAGTTATAAGAGCTGTTTCAAGAGTTAGAGTTCATATCTGAGTGTCTAAAGGATAACATATGGGTTCATCTTAATTCTAATACTTTTTTTTTAATCAGCAAAACAGAAAATAATTTCATTAAAAATATAAGAGGGCAAAACAACAAGCAGTTGTGAAAGAAACAAACAGACTCAAAGTAGCTAAACCCCCCAAAGTATTACAACTTAGCCCAAAACATAGAATGTCTCTGAACCCCTTGTTTAGCTAGACCACCAACCATCTTAGTTCTAATACAATTAGGAGTCTATTTTAGTTAATTTCCCAACTGGAACTGGAGTCTATAAAGGAACATACAAGCCCTTATGCTTTTCTATTGGTTAACAATCAAATGCTATACATAATTACATATGAATACATCACCTTTCCTTTTCTCAGAAAACAGATTCAGCTTTCTAGGGGAATATTTCCCCAATACAATTAATTCCTCTGCACTCCTTGTCTAGCCAAATCATCAGCTAGGCTATTAGTTACCCAAAAAATATATAAAAAAAGGGTAGGCTATTAGATCTTTTAACCCAAGAGAAAGATGTTTCTACCGGCCTACTTCTAACTTCTTGCTTATCTTATGATGTGTCTACTTGAATCAAAGAATAAAAAGATGTGTTCTCATAAGCTCTAGCAACATTAAGACTGGCTTCTCCTCTTGCTCTGGCTGTTTTTGCCCAAAGGTAGTTTCGGCTGATGTGGAGCTGCATAGAGTTGCATAGCCAAGTCATCACCAAATAGTTCTCTTGAACCCATTTTGGATGTGATGTGTCTTCCTTGGCTGGATTCTTTGTCTCCAGTCACATAACCTAATTTACCTCTACCTCTAATGACCATCATTGCTGATTGGGCCCATTCCAAGTAATTGGTTCCATCAAACCTAACAGCCATAATCTGAAACGAATTCTCAGTCATGCAACCAGTCCCAAAAAGTCCTTCCCCTTGTGTTTTTAACTCACTTCCAGCCTTCTCCATTCTATGTAGAGCACTAACAGATCAAAAAACTCCAAGAAAATAACCAAAAGGAATTTCTTTTCTACTGAAACACTAAGAAATTTAGAGAAAAAAACCACCCAGAATTTAATCACAGCAATGAATAGTCACCAAGAACTTGATCTCAGTCGATAGTTACTTTCCAAGAAAGCATTCGTAGTCAAAGGTCAACTCCCTAGTTCATTATCAGTCAAAAACACTCCTTGAGTCCTCAAAAAACTGGTTGAAGGGTTTTAAACAAGGGAGAAAACAGCAGGGAATATTCAGACTTATCAGCCGTTGCTTATAGAGAGGCTTAACAACTTCTAATCAAGATCGGCTCTACTAAAGATTGTACCTTTCTCAGGAAAAAAAAAAAAACACTCTGATCACCACCTCAGTTTGAAACTCTAATCTTGGTCACACCTAAATTCTCTGATTCTTCCGGGTCACCGGGCAATCTCCAAGAATCTTTCACTTTCTTGGGCAGTCTCCAATACTCCAGCAACCTCCAAGAACAAGGCGCTACTGCAGAAGATCCAGTTCTAAAGAATTCTCATGTAGCCAACCAGATCAGGCTCACATGAGAACCCTAGTCTTTCCTCGCCAAGAGCTTTGATACCAACTTGAATAAAAGAATAAAAAGATGTGTTCTGATGTAATTCAGGAAGAAAGAAAGAAAAGTCAACTAGGCTTCAAAGAGAAGAAGAAGAAAAGAGAAGAGAGAAGAGAAGAAAGAAGAAAAAAGGGGTTCGGTTAGATTAATTCTGCCGCCCCACTATATATATATATATATATATATATTCATGTCCTTACAAAAGGAGTTACTCTAATACCCCTACTTAAAACAAAAGACAAATAAACAAGGCCCATCCGGCCCAACTACCAAGACTGTAACATAGGGAAATAAATAATAAAATAAAGTGTGGGGCTGGAACCACACACACACTAATGAGCTACTATCTCTACATGTCTGTATTGCCAAGGCCCAAGACTGTCATTCTTAAACCAGCCCACTATCACCTTGTGATCTCCTATCACCACATTACTATAGTTTTTCTCCTTTTCGCTTTTGATTGGTCAACACATTACCATATTTGAGAGCCTTTCCCAATCTTAGTCCTTGCGGTAAATGCTAATGGTTCCTTCCTTGCGGAATCTCCGTAACCAATTGGTCCTTAGAAAACTATCATAATTTGTTCTTGGTCTTTCTCAATGCTCCTTGATGCAATAGCATGCTAGCACGTTAACCCCTAAGAAAGTTGGGTTTAGACTCAGATTTTTTTATAGTAAATCAAAGAAATCTTTCATTAAATGAAAAAAAAAAAAGATTACAATGGCATGTAGGGTGATGAACTAGAAACCATTCATCAAAATGAGCTACAACATGAAAGACTAACATATCAAAAGCCACATCATAACACAAGTCAAGTGTATCCCAAAAGCCAAACCAAAATAATATCTTTGCAACCCTGAAAATTCCAGTAATAACAAAACCCAATAGGCATTCTCTGAGTTACCATGAACGAAAAATCTTATTGACATTCTCTGGTTCAATAGGTTGAATTACATGCAGTGTTTCGGGGGCTGAGATTGGTAAAAGGCAGATTATATAAATATGTATATTGAAGGGGACTCATCGATAATTATAGTGGCTACAAGGGAACCTGGCAGGAGAATGGCAGTTGAGACGTGGATTCAAAAAGCAAGATCAATAGACACTTTGGGAGGTTTCATTTCATGGACATCGAGGTCTGCCAACGCGCTTGTTGACTCCTTCGCCCATAAGTTAACAGACACACTTTGATTTGGGGAGAACACCCTCTGGGATAAGAAAGTGTTTACTTAGAATAACTGCTTATGGAATTCTGTTCTTTTTTATTAGTAACTGGTCAGTTAATTTAATTAATAAAAATAATGATATATATATATACATGCATATATATAACAAAATTCAAAACTCTTCAAAGATATATTTGGTAGTGAGAGACCCTCCTTTTTTTCCAAGCAACATGTTAGGAAAGGAACATTGTCCAGCCTAATATCACAGGTATTCCAAAAGAGACAAATGGCAAGGAAGATTTCTCTGCATCTATGATACCCAAGCTCTTCATTTTACCCAAGTACTGTGTTGGACATTACACAACATGGGAATAGGAATGGAATATGTCTTAGATCCACTAAAACATGTTTTTACAATGCCATGTTTGTTATGGATTGGGTACTGTTTGAGCTAGCCGAATAAGGGTAGATTAGTCATTCTATTTCTGTTAAGTTATGTGCTTATGTGGCAGTTTTAATAGAGACTTCCTGTCCCATACTTAAGTGGGAGGCAGTTTAGTCTTTGTACAACTAATTAGAGGTTAATCCATATTAGAGTCGACTGATAGGGTTTTATGCTATCAGATTTGACTGTTCTTCTTCTTCTTCTTTCTCTCTTACTCTACTGGTTCGAACTACTTAAACAGAGCTGTCAAAACATGGTATCAAAGACATAAACGAAGGAGAAGGCTGCGACTTCAAGATTTCCTTCCTGCGACTTCAAGTTCTCTCTCTTCTTTTTTTCTTCTTCTCTGGGCTGCGAATCTGAGGTACACAATCTGGTAGCTGCGGCATCTGTTATTTATTTTTTGTTTTAGGACTGCCGCAATCCCTATTACATGTATTAGGAAGGTGCGGCAACCCTAGGATATCAGCCTAATACTGCTGTCACCATGTGTGACAGCCGTAGTCGTGTTGTGGTGTTTACCCTCTACTGAACAATTTCAAGAGGGTTTGTGTGTGGTTGCTCGAGTTGTTTCATTGCTGTCATGGTGACTACTATTTATGGGTTGTCAGTAGTGGTGTGAACAGAAATTTTTTTGTGTGTGGTTGCTTGAGTGTTGTGTTGTTGTAATGGTGCCTAATATTTCTGGGATGTCAGTAGTGGTGTGAATAGAAAAAATTTGTGCTGAAAGAAGTGGCCGAATACCTCAGCCTAGTAGCTTTCATCAATGTTCTAATCTGGATGGTAGCCGAATCTGGTCAAAACATCCAGTTCTTAACCTTAATGTTAGTCTACATCAAGTTGTTGATTGTGACTAGTTGTGAGATTGATATCAGTGTGCTGTAGTGTT